GTCGTAAACTAAAGTGTCGTAAACTAAAGTGTCGTAAACTAAAGTGTTGTAAACTAATGTGTCTAAAGTGTTGTAAACTAAAGTGTCATAAACTAATGTGTCTAAAGTGTCGTAAACTAAAGTGTCGTAAACTAAAGTGTTGTAAACTAATGTGTCTAAAGTGTTGTAAACTAAAGTGTCATAAAATAATGTGTCTAAAGTGTCGTAAACTAAAGTGTCGTAAACTAATGTGTCTAAAGTGTTGTAAACGAAATTGTTGTAAACTAATGTGTCTAAAGTGTCGTAAACTAAAGTGTCGTAAACTAAATTGTTGTAAACTAATGTGTCTAAAGTGTCGCAAACTAAAGTGTCGTAAACTAAAGTGTTGTAAACTAATGTGTCTAAAGTGTCGCAAACTAAAGTGTCGTAAACTAAAGTGTTGTAAACTAATGTGTCTAAAGTGTCGTAGCCTAATGTGTCTAAAATGTCGTACACTGTCGTACACCAAACTGTTGTAAACTAATGTGTCTAAAATGTCGTAAACTAAAGTGTCGTAAACTAATGTGTCTAAAGTGTCGTAAACTAAAGTGTTGTAAACTAATGTGTCTAAAGTGTCGTCCACTGTGTCGTAAACTAAAGTATTGTAAACTAATGTGTCTTAAGTGTCTTAAACTAAAGTGTCCTACACTAACACGTGTTGAGACCCATTTTTGAGGTGGTCTCGGTCCATTTCCGAACTAACTCCGGTGTGGTTCACTTCTGGCGTGAATACAGACAAGTCTTGAACCGAACCAACTACAGGAAACGTGTCTTTTTTGGCTTTGGAAGAAAAAGATAAAGTCCCCTATTAATCTGGACCAAACAAGTGGACCAAAAGACTTTTCTGGTGTGAAATACTGTGTTTTAATATGAAGCACTGAACTCATTAGGTAACGTTTGCATAAATGATAACTCTGCTTCCAAAGCACACTGTGTTCTGATAGATGATCTAATAAAAAAATAGACATATGGCTACAGCACGAAACGATCAGTTATTGAAAACATGAGTAACAAGGCATCAACCTGATGTATAAGCAAACTTTCAAAACTAACCCACCTGGAGAGCAGGGTTGCCAGATAAAAAAACAAAACAAAACTTTTTTTTCCGGTCTTTTTCCGTGCTTTTTTTCACCAAACACAACACACTCCTTATCTTACAACACCGTCACTCAGCATATGACTGATTCATATATATATACAGCATATATCTGCTGTTTTGACTCAAAATATGATAATTTTAAAAGAACAATAAAACACTTTACTATGTCCCATTTGGCAACCCTGCTGGTGATGACATAACAATCACTGCTGCAGCGTGTTAAACAGTTCAGGTGATCATGTTCACTGGCGCTGTCCTGCCATGGAATGAGTCTCCATTTTACTTTCTGTGGGTGATTTTCAGTGAAATGTAGCCAACTTTTAAAAGCTCAGTTCTTGTTTTTTTAGCCTCTTCAGCGTGATCGTCTTTGCGTTCTGCCATTATTATTTCCCTTTGATGTGCCGGTGCTGTGGCTTCTCCTGTGGTTTGCAGGCAGGCGCTTCTTCTTCAGTAGTAAACAAAGCAGCCACAGACAATAGAAGCGATTCTGTCCCCAGCAGTTCATGTATTTCGTTGCAGATACAAATGAGTATTTATGTGGGTAAATAATGCAAATATTTGATTATAAAATTCTGTCTTGCGTATCGATTGTTTAGAATAATCTGTGCAGCCCTATTAGGAAATGACTTTTTCAAAAACTCTTGAAGGAGTAACGACTGACTCATAAGTTTACCTGCTGAAGGTTTCAGTCTGTCTTGCAGGGACATAAGCTGAAGGAGACTCTTCTACCATCTTTAAACTTGCTGACTGAGAGCGCCCGCATCCATCGAGAGACCAGGAAGTTTCTGAGGTCAAAGGTCAGTACTGGACCACTTTGACCACTCAGGTAGTGTTGTATTACTGACTGCATCACTGACAGACTCAAATGTTTTGTTGCTCAGCCATCAGGTGAAATAGCTTCTGTGTTGGAGGGGGTGGGAAATGAAGGGAGGACAGTGCTGCAACAACTACTGCTTTTTTATTATTATTAAATGATTTTTCAGTTAAAAGGACACCTTAATGCAGTTAATAACTTGTACCAGCGCTTGAATTATTGAGTTTTTATGGTACCACTTGATAACTCAGTGCAATAACTCCTTTTTGCTAATTTCTGATTTTCAGTAATGTTATCAAGTTTTATTTTGATTCTTTATGCTTGTCTTTTGTTACATCTCTTTATTTGTCAGTGTGATGTGATTCGAAGCAGCTGGCAACTTCTGAATTTCCTTTAAAAAAATAAAATCTTCTGTTATGTGCTCTTTGTTGTTAAGGTGCTGCCTCCCCTCCGGGATGTGACACACAAACCAGAAGTAGGCGATTCTCTGAGGAACAAAATTGTTCGTCTTATGACTCACATTGACACTGATGTGAAGGACTGCGCTGCTGAATTCCTCTTTGTTCTCTGCAAAGAAAGTGGTGAGGATTATTTTGTGTCAGGTTCTTTATTTTAGTTAGGGGCGCCTGTAGCAGAGTGGTTTAAAAGATTTTTTAGAAAAAGTTCTGATGTTGAATAGTTTTTGAGATATAAGTATTTTTGTGTGTCCAGACACAGTTCTCAAATAGTGCCCCAACTTGAAATATGGGGTCCATCGTAAAACTGTTTGCTACCACAGTGTAGTTAGGCTACATCTGTATTCCTACCAAATGTCATGCTGCTAGGTGCAGCGGTTTCTGTGCTACAGTTGACCAAATATCTCTTAAAAAAACCATCAGTATGAAACAATATGACCCCCGCTACATGAATATAAACACGATAGAACTCGACGCCAACCATCACTGATGTACCCGGTCACAGACAGACGGCATTTCTATGCCCCCCACCTCGGCAATGGGGGACAATAAATGCATAAAAACACTAAGACTTACTAAAACACTAAGGCTTGTTTGGAAGGGTTGCAGGAGAAAGAAAGAACATATTTTATCTGAAACAATGACTGTGTCCAAATTCAAGGGCTGTGACCTCCGAAAGCCGAATTTGCCGGCCGCTTACATCACAGCGCTGCGCCGGAGGCTGTCCAAGTTCAAAGACTCCTCCGATGCGGCCGACAAATGTGTCCTTCATTTTCTAGGTTTGTGAGACGGGTCTGACGGATCCTTCTTGGCCCACCATAGCCCATAATGCATTGTGGGCCGACCTGATTTATTTTTTCTGCGCATAATAGTGGACGAAGCGAGAGAAAGAAGCACAGTTGTAAATAAAAATCTGGCGGTATAAAAATGAAAAGTTTCAAGTGGTTGCGTTGTTAATGCTTTTATCATTTTTATAAACATGTTTTTAATATTATTCTTGTCAGAAATCAAACAAGATGGTATAGAGAAATAAACATGCACCTACAGCAGGCCCATTAATTCTTCAAATATTGATTTTAAGCTAATTTTGTCTTATGA